CTTTTTTGTTTCATGGGGGAAAATAAGAGGTAGAAGACATTCTTACATGGAAAGTAAGAAAAATACATTTCTGAGAAAGTTGTAGTGACATTCCTTTAGCAATGAAAAAGTAATTGAATAATTAATGATATTTCTTAGATGATAGGAAGGGAAAGAGTAAGTGCATTTTCTTTGCAATGGGAAAAGAAATTGAATAATGACATTTCTGCTGTATGTGAAATGAGAAAGAGTAAGGACAATTTCTGTTGCAATGGGAAAAGTAATTGAATTATTACATTCCTGTTGCAATGGGAAAGAAATTTGAATAATGACCATTTCTGAGAATGGAGTAGGTAAACATCTGTTGCAACTGGGAAAATAAATTGATTAAAGACAGTCTTAGAAAAGAGTATGACATTCCTGTTGCAATGGGAAAGAAATTGAATAAAGACATTCTTAAATAGAGTAGTGACATTCCTGTTGCAATGGAAAAAGTAATTAAAATGACATTTTCTGTGTATGTGAAATAGAATAAGTATGAATCCTGTTGCAGTAGGAACTTCATGGGGTAATGAACAATTCTGTTGCATGGGGAAAGAGGATTAGAAATAGTTACTGTCCCTGTTGCCTGTGAGAAAGTAATTAGAAATAACATTCTGTTGAACGGGAAAAATTAATATAGAGTGAAAACTTTTGCATGATCAAGCATAGGAAATAGTGAATTTTCAAAAAAAAAGTCTCAAGGTCTTCTTAAAATGAGCCTCATGCAGTATATGGTACATTTGAATCTAAAAGTAGCAAAATAAATCACATGTAAATTACATGTTTTTACATTAAACTGAATTGCCGCTAAAAGATCTACTAGTATTCCTAAATAAAAACTCAAAAATTTAATCATTATGGTAAATGTATTATCAAACACAATATACTTTAGTATCTTCAACTGGGAAATTACAACTTTGCCCTATTATTTCAGCTTTTTGGGTCAATATTTCTTTCTGAGTGTAATATTTTGGCATTTGGGTGTGTATGGAGTGGAGACTTTCAATGGACAAAGCATGGTAAAAGGAGGTAAGGACTACATGATATTACATAAGAGTTAACCTGATTGATTGAGAATGATACTAATTACCTTAAAATACGCTGGCAATGTATAAACCCATTTGGCCTATAAGTGTTCTGATACCAGTATCAATCCCACTGAGAGTTGTAGAAGGGATTTTAAGAAAAGTGAAACACTCGGTTTTGACATTATCTTTGTCAAGGGTGAACATTTTTTATATCACACATTTTGAAAGTGTTTTATCACCCACAGTGGTATGTGTTTTATCACCCAAAGTGGATTGTGTTCTATCACCCACATGGCATGTATTTTATCACCACAGTGGTATACGTTTTATCACCCACAGTGGAATTGTGATAACAAGTTATAACCCTGTCGAGTGGCCCCCTGTGGAGCAATTTACCTTTAATAAACAAAGCAAGGTTGTTATTTCTCCCATTAAAGGTAAAGATTTCTACCATGTAATACCTTTTGTAGAGCAATACCTCATGGCAACAACCAATATATTTTGTCTCAAAAAGGGGTTTTAAATTTTGAAATCAACAACTCTAACCACTCTACCATAGTCTTTCGATCTATATAATTGTATCAGACATTGTATTTGTTTTTGAAATTCTATTCCTAGTATTTGCAATATTTTTGGGATGGACAGTTCTGCAGCTCTATTGCACTCGCAGCTTTTCTGCCTACAGACCATTCATAGATAAGTAAGTCGCCCGTCTTTAATAATTTTTGTTAGACATGTATAATGATTTTTATGTTCACTGTTTTTATTTTTTGATGGAGATAAAGTAGCTTTCCAACAATTCCGCTACTCAAAACCTTTAACTAAAAAAATCACTAGTTTTTATTGTTCGCCTTGAAAAGGTACATATTAGGGTTACTTTTGTCGCGGGCGGCGTCTGTGTCGGCATCGGCGTTTTTTGTCAGCTCGCGTTCCCTAAAGCTTGTCCGGAGCATAACCTCAGTCACTATAAGTCTGATTTGAGCTTTCAAACTTGTATGCATGCTTCTTTTCAAAAAACCTGAAGTGCAGGCACAAGGACCAGTACTTTGGCAGTTCTTATTTTTTGAGTATTGCCCTTTGTTAATTTTCATACTTTTAATTTTTGTCCGGGGCCATTCTCTTTCAACTAAAAAAGCTATGGACTTGAAACTTTATAGATGATAATGCTCATTAAGAAAAGGGCAGGTGCACAAAAAACGGTACTCTGCACTTCCTTTTTTTGTAGTTACTGCCCCTTTTAATTTTCATACTTTATTTTTGTCCCGGGCCCATTTCGTCAATGTAATAAAACCATGGAGACTTGAACTTCATAGGATGATGAGGTCTCATTAAGAAGAATGCACTGCACAAGAACAGTACTCTGCATTTTTATTTTTTGGGTTATTGCCCTTGTTTATTTTCATACTTTAATTTGTCCGGCCATTTTTCCTTAAGTATAAAAGCTATGGACTTGAAACTTCATAGGATGATAGATCTCATTAAAAGAAGAAGTGCAGTGCACAAGAATCGTACTCTGCATTTTAATTTTTGAGTAATTGCCCTTTGTTAATTTTCATACTTAATTTTTGTCCAGGCCATTTCTCCGAAAGTATAAAAGTTATGGACTTGAAACTTCATAGGATGATAGATCTCATTAAGAAAAAGTGCAGGCATAAGAACTGATACTCTGCATTTCTTATTTTTGAGTTATTGCCCTTTGTTGATTTTCTTACTTTATTTTTGTCCTGGTCATTTCTCCTAAAGTATGAAAGCTATGGACTTGAAGCATCATAGAATGATAGATCTTATTGATAAGAAGTGCAGTGCACAGATATGCTGCTCTGCACTTATCATTTTTTTAGTTATTGCCCTTTGATATTTTTCATATTTCATTTTTGTCCTGGCCATTTCTCCTAAACTACATTGTTCACAAGGCGACACATCTGACTCGTGGAGTTCTAGTTTATAGTCAAGTCCACAGGCAGTTAGCTGAACCTAGTTGTCAAAAAGTTAGTAAGAGTGTCTAACTGATCTTATATGGACTTTATTATCAGTTGAGGAATTTTCAGTTAGCTTTGGTCAAATGCACACTTTAATTTGACTGTGTGCCATGTGTCAGAGGCAGAATCATAACTCAAAGGTCAGTTAGGGCACATGGTCAAAGGTAAATAAATGAAGGCTGTTTTCTTTTGTTTGGCTGTAACTTTGCCACTATATGAGAAATTGTAAAATAACTTGTAACAAATGTGAAGCTTAATGAGGTCATAAATGTATGTCACCTGGAAGAGCCAAGAACAAGGACCATAGCATAATGCTCAAGGTCACAATCTTGGTCCAAAACAGTTTGTCAGTACAATTAATCCCCAATTATCTGACATTTACCTGATATGGACGTCCTTAGTTAACAACAACTTTAAGTAACCAACTATTTAAGCCACCAAAGGTGGTTGTGGTGGTTGGTAGTTTTCAATCTGCATTATGGCAGTATGCCACATTGAATTTACCAGAGCTCATTTCAGTCACCGCAGCGTTCCTGGACAGGCTGTCAAGCAGTTTACCAGTACTAGTTGGGCTCACTTTCACAAAGAACTGATAACTTCTGTACCTGCCAAAGCAGTGGTACAGTTTGAATGAACGTAGAAAGGATTTCATGATCAATCACTACGTAAGTGACATGCACCGTCCAAATTTCGAACCCAGGTCACCCAAACACTCTACCATTTGAGCAAACTGCAAAAGTAAAGAGGGATTTTATTAAACACACTGTAATCTGGTAAATTAAGATTGATGTTTTTATCATTGTATTTTTGTAGGTGCGGAGCAAAGCAGGCGGTGAATCGTGCTTTTTATTTATTGATATTCTCCCGTTTTCTTGGGGGGTTTTTTTTACACTTCTTTTTTACCGATCAATTTTAATGTAACAAAAAAGCCGTCACACAAAAAAAACAAAGGCTTTTCGACCCAGCATGGTCCCCGACCCGCCTGCGAAGCGCAGTTACAGGGGTCCAGCGTTTGTACCAACCCATTAAACAAATAGAAAACTGATACGACAGCATGGGTCCTGATCAGATTTGGGGAAAGGTTTGTATACACGGCTCAAATATTTTTTTATTGCCCTAGACAAACTTTTTGTAAGATGCCCCCCCTTTAAATTGGTTTAAAAACTGATGATGCTTGTTTTGGAGGGAAAAAACAGCCAAAAAAATTTTAAAAAAATTTTTCAAAAAAACAAAAGTAAACAAAGTTTTTTTGATTCATTACAAAATATTAAATTACTAATAACTGTACTTTTTGCCAAAAAGCAACAGATGAAAAAGATGGTTTAGGTATCCTGCCAATGAGTAACTTTTAGCATACTTTGAAAGTACACTAAAAATTAAAAAGTTTTTTTTTTATATCTACAAATGAAAGCATTTCTGAGGCATATTGAGCCTTTACGGTTATCACACACTTGTTACTAGCTTACGGAACGTCGGTGGTTCTACTCAGGTGCCCGTTCGTGCCTGAAATAATGCACGGAAGGGCACCTGAGGTCTTCCTCCACTAGTAAAGCTGGAATGTCGCGATATGACCTACACTGTGTCGATGTGACGTAAAACCCAAAACAAACAAAAAAACACTTGTTACTATTCAGGTTTTATGTTACATTATGGAAAGTTTGGGGTTTTTTTTTAGAAAAGTTCATGATAAGGTGACAAGCAGTTTAGCACAAAATGGTTTTCAGTAAAAAGCTAAAAATATCATAAAATAACAGTGCAAGTAGCTTTATGTGCAAAGAGCTATTATAAGACTTGGGTTTGGAAACTGATGTGATACAATATTACTTACAATAATCAAAGAACCCCCCCCCCCCCCCCCCAAACTCTATATTTAATAACTTTAATTATGGTTTCCCTTGACATGAATCTTGAACAAAAGTTATTTCTATTTGTTTAGATATTTATCATACATTACAAAAACATGGCACCTTAACTGATATATTTCTCATATTTTACAGTAAAGAGATCCCTTATAAGACATTTTGGACGATATTCAACCATTGAGAGGCAGACAATGGACAATATATCCGTTAAATTTATAATTATATGCACTTCCTTCATTGTCTGGTAAGTAAATTATGTTGATAGTTCATGTTGATGAAAAACTAATTTTAGGTCATGTTAATAAAAACATAATTTTAGTTCATGTGAATGAAATAATAATTATAGTTCATGTTAATTAAAACATAATTTTAGTTCATGTTGATGAAAAACTAATTTTAGTTCATGTTAATGAAAAACAAATTTTAGTTAATGTTGATTAAAAAACTAATTTTAGTTCATGTTAATTAAAACATAATTTTAGTTCATGTTGATGAAAAACTAATTTTAGTTCATGTTAACAGATATGTTATTTTAGTTCATGTAAATGAAAAACTATTTTAGTTCATACAAAGTTATTTAAGTTTGATTGTGTTGGAAGCTATAAGCTCATTGAAACATTCTTGAATCAGTTCCTGGAACCAACCAGTACTAAGCAATTAATGTAAAGTTTCTTGCTCAAGGAAACAACGGCTTGCCCCAGACAAGTTTGAACCCTATTTTAGTTCATGTTATTCAAAAACTAATTTTAGTTCAAGTGGATGGAAGAGTGGAGTTATTTGAAGGTTATTAACAAATTATTATGATCACATTAGATAGTGGAAAATATATGCTATGCTGGTTAAATGATCTCCCGCAAATTAAGTAAGAATTTTGATTTTGAAACAGCATTTTCTGTTAGTTTTTAGCTCACCTGTCACAAAGTGACAGGGTGAGCTTTTGTGATCGCTTTTCGTCCGGTGTCCGTCCGTCCGTAAACTTTTACTTTAAATGACATCTCCTCATAAACCACTAAGCCAATTTCATCCAAACTTCACAGGAATGTTCCTTTGGTGGTCACCTTTAAAAATTGTTCAAAGAATTTAATTCCAAGCAGAACTCTAGTTGCCATGGCAACCGAAAGAAAAAACTTTAAATATCTTCTTTTAAAAAACCATAAGAGCTAGAGCTTAGATATTTAGCATGAAACATCTTCTAATGAGTGTCTACCAATTTTGTTCAAATAAAAGCCCTGGGGTCAAAATTGGCCCCGCCCCGGGGGGTCATTGATTTTCCCTTTATGCATATAGTAAAAACTTAAAAAATCTTCTTTTAAAGAACCCAAAGAGCTAGAGCTAAGATATTTAGCATGAAATATGTTCTAATGGGTGTCTACCAAGTTTGTTCAAATAAAAGCCCTAGGGTCAAAATTGGCCCCGCCCCGGGGGGTCATTGATTTTCACTATATGCATATAGGAAAAACTTAAAAAATCTTCTTTTAAAGAACTCAAAGAGCTATGGCTAAGATATTGAGCATCAAACATGTTCTAATAGGTGTCTACCAAGTTTGTTCAAATAAAAGCCCTGGGGTCAAAATTGGCCCCGCACCAGGGGGTCATTGATTTTCCCTATATGCATATAGTAAAAACTTTAAAAACCTTCTTTGAAAGAACCAAAAGAGTTAGAGCTAAGATATTTAGCATGAAACATGTTCTAATAAGTGTCTACCAAGTTTGTTAAAAAAAAAAGCCCTGGGGTCAAAATTGGCCCCGCCCCGGGGGGTCATTGATTTTCCCTTTATGCATATAGTAAAAACTTAAAAAATCTTCTTTTAAAGAACCCAAAGAGCTAGAGCTAAGATATTTAGCATGAAATATGTTCTAATGGGTGTCTACCAAGTTTGTTCAAATAAAAGCCCTAGGGTCAAAATTGGCCCCGCCCCGGGGGGTCATTGATTTTCACTATATGCATATAGGAAAAACTTAAAAAATCTTCTTTTAAAGAACTCAAAGAGCTATGGCTAAGATATTGAGCATCAAACATGTTCTAATAGGTGTCTACCAAGTTTGTTCAAATAAAAGCCCTGGGGTCAAAATTGGCCCCGCACCAGGGGGTCATTGATTTTCCCTATATGCATATAGTAAAAACTTTAAAAATCTTCTTTGAAAGAACCAAAAGAGTTAGAGCTAAGATATTTAGCATGAAACATGTTCTAATAAGTGTCTACCAAGTTTGTTAAAAAAAAAGCCCTGGGGTCAAAATTGGCCCCGCCCCGGGGGGTCATTGATTTTCCCTATATGCATATAGTAAAAACTTAAAAAATCTTCTTTTAAAGAACTCAAAAAGCTATGGCTAAGATATTTAGAATCAAACATCTTCTAATAGGTGTCTACCAAGTTTGTTCAAATAAAAGCCCTGGGGTCAAAATTGGCACCGCCCCGGGGGTCATTGATTTTCCTTATATGTGTATAGCAAAAACTTAAAAAATCTTCTTTGAAAAAACCCAAATAGCTAGAATTAAGATATTAAGCATGAATCATCTTTTAGTGAGTGTCTACAAAGTTTGTTCAAATAAAAGACCTTCGGTCAAAATTGGCCCCGCCCCGAGGGTCATTGATTTTCTTTATATGTGTATAGCAAAAACTTAAAATCTTCTATGAAAAAACCCAAATAGCTAGAGTTTAGATATTAAGCATGAAACATCTTCTAGTAAGTGTCTACAAAGTTTGTTCAAATAAAAGCCCTGGCCCGGCCCCAGGGGTGTCATTGTTTTTAACTATATGTGTATAGTAAAAACTTAAAAAAAATCTTCTTTTAAAAAGCCCAATGAGCTAGAGCTTAGATGTTTAGCATGAAACATCTTCTTATGGGTGTCTACCAAGTTTGTGCAAATAAAAGCCCTTGGGTTAAATTGGCCCTGCAAAGTTGGGGGGGGGGGGGGGCTATGTACAGGTGAGCGACCTCAGGGCCATCATGGCCCTCTTGTTTGTTGGTTTTTTTTGTCATTATTAGTAAAAATATTAAATTGAGCCATGTCATGACAAAACCAACATATGGGTTTGCGACCAGCATGGATCCAGACCAGCTTGCGCATCTGCGCAGTCTGATCAGGATCCATGCTGTTCGCTGTTAGTTTCTCTGGTCTGGATCCGTACTGGTCGCAAACCCATTATGTTGGGTTTTGTCCTGACGTGGCTCAATTCAGTATTTTTTGTTTCAGTTGGATTCCAAATTTGATTAATGGGGTAGTGATAAATGTGTCAGAAGATAGATCGGGGCAGGTCGTTTTTATGTTAATAGTCCTTGAGGTAAGTTACCAATTTACTGTTTATTTTATCTATAATAGAGACAGTAAAGTAACAATCAGCCAGTAAAGCTTGCTTGATTGATATATCTTGTACCTCTGTGACATAAGTTTAGGTTTTGGCGGAATGGAGTTTAATTTAATGTCTTTTTTTACGGTTAGAAACCTGTCCAGCAAGCTTATGGACTGTCAATCATCAAAACTATCTGGAAGTAATCTAATGAGAAATTATCAGTATTGCCAAATTAAAAAAAATATGAATACCTTGTGTTTTGTTTGGTTGGTTTTTATTTCAGTTTTAACACATATTTAGCCATATCTTTGATGGTTGGCCCACCTTATGACTTTCCTACATGTAGATTACTAAGAAATTACCGATTTCTCTCCAAGTGGAGCTTATTGTAAATGGAAAGCCAATAGGTTATCTTCCCTTTAAATGACCTGGAATAATATAAATAATCATTCAAGGGAAGATAACTTGAAAACAAGATTGGAGACCAGAAATTTGTTTTTCTATTAACAATGTTTCTGTTATCATATTTTAAAGTCATGCAAAGTTAAAATAAATTCTATTACTTTATTTTTAATCTTGCTCTGCTATATGTTTATATGTAACCTTGGCATATGCCTTTAAACTTTTTTGTTGGATTTTCATTAATACTGATACTGTAAAGGTTATATGTTTAAGAAAATACCCTGATTCCCGCTAGTATCTGAAACAATTAGAGGGTCACATGGGTTCTTTATCCTTTACAGCGTCATTGTTACTATCTTTACCATGTCATTTAAATGAACATAGTTTTGTTTTACAACTTACCGTAAAATTAATAAACGCCCCTCCCCTAATAAAAGCCCCCCAGGCTTTTTGATCTGGAAAAAAATCTGCTCATCAGTGGTGAACTCTTTAATAAATCTGTAATTTTATTCAAGTCCTTCAGAATCCATTTTATTTCATAGTAAACACAAGAATGTATCACATGAACTTTAAAATCTTAACACATTTTAATGTTATTGCCAACACTTGTTAACACTTAATGTATTTTCAATGATTTTTGGATTTAGGAAAAAATGTGTTGTAATAATAGCCCCCCTTTTGGAAAATATTTAGCCCCCGGGGGCGTTTAATAGGAATTTTACGGTAAGTCTTTTGCATCCATGTCATTGAAGGGGTGTTTGTGGCCTAGTGGTTCAGGTTGTTGACCTGAAACCACTTGCCGCTCAAAGCGGCCAGTTTGAATCCAGACAGGAATTTCGGATTCTTTCATGACAGGAAGCTATCCAAGTAGCTTATGGAACATCAGTGGTTCTACTCAGGTGCTCTTTTGTGCCTGAAATAATGCATGAAAGGGCACCTGAGGTTCTCCTCCACTTACAAAGCTGGAAAGTCGCCATATGACCTATACTGTGTTGGTGTGAGATAAAACCCAATCAAAATGTCATTGAAACTTGAACACCACTTAATGCTACTACAGCAAAATCTCTGCTTAGCAACCACCTTTGCTTAGCAACCACCTTTGCTTAGCAACCACCTTTTAAAGACAAGTATTATGGTTGTTACTGAGAGGTGCTGCTCTAGTGAGGTAAAATTTATTCCAAAGTCCAAAGTCTAACTTTGGGAAATATCAAAACTTGTTATATAGAGGTGATTGTTGTACAGAGGGCCACTCTGTGGAGGTTATACTGTATTCTATGACGTTTCATTACAGTCTGTGTTGAATCCTTTCCAAGTTCTGATAGACTCTATGGTGATGTTTGGGTGGCCACCAAGAGGGTGTTGCTGTATTTTATTACGATCTCATCACCATGACAACAGTAACTATGCAAATATCAATAACCTTGGAAGGTCAAGGAGGTCAAGGTCATCCAGAACCAGTGAGACTGATCCCTTACTCAGCTTTAGCAGGAACCAGCATACTGTGTGATAAGAGCAACAGTGAGGATTGCTAACTTTGACTGTTATTTAAATAATGATGTCATTATAGTAGTTTAGTGCCAAGATTAAGGTTAATATGTCAGTTGGGCTTGCTATAGTTTTTATGCTAACTTCTTTTAATTAGTGTATTTGCAGGTGGGTGGGAAGGGGGGATTTGCTTTGGTGAAAAGGTACCACCTGCCTCTCAACCCATGAATCCTGGGTAAGAATCCTACTGCTGGGTAATGACTACATTTTCTCAAGCGGGACCAGTACTGAATTATCGTTTAACCCTTGCCTTATTAAATATCTAAAATTGACTTGTCTACTTTACAAGATATGCAGATCTTTTACTGCTGCCATCAGTAGGCTAGTAGTTAGAATGACTTTAAGCAGTCATCAGAATTATGCTCAGAATATTATGTTTTTACTTTGAGCATATACAGTTAATAAACTACCAACCCAAGTAAATACCAAAACAAATTAAAGTGATTTTCATTGTTAAGTTGTGCAGAATTGACTATATATTTCAAAAGATTGACTGTTTGACCAACAGTTGATATTGGACAATGTTCAGGGTAAAATATAAATCTGCCTAAAACATAAAAAGACTGCTCTATTTTTTTATGAATTGAACGTTACAGGTAAATTCCTATGGGTATGTATTTACAGAAATTTCCTTGGGTCACTTGAGTTATTGATCAGTCATGTGAAATAAAATATAAAACTGAAATGAATTAAGGCAAAATAAAAACTGATTTTGACTTTCACTTGTTCACTCATTATATGCCCTAGGATGGGCATAATGTCACTTTGAACAAATACATTGTATATGATCATGACTATATTATGTATTGTTGACTCAAAATTGCCACCAGCTTTGGAAAAAATTATGTATTGTTGACTCAAAATTGCCACCAGCTTTGGAAAAAAATAAATAATGGATTTTGTCAGAAAATAAAGACAAAGATAGATTTTTTTTATAAGGAATTTTACCTTATCTATAATAAATTGAATTGAAACAGTTATTGTAAAGAGGTAACTGTTCTACAGAGGGTTACTCTGTGAGGAGATTCTTCATTAGGCATTTAAGATTGGATATAACTGTTCAATGACCATTTTTACTTTTGTATATCTATACATTTAAGTGCTCAGTCATTATCAATTAACAATGGGTGTTACCTTTAACTGACATAGAATTATAAGCTCATTGTATAATTATAGCCATGGCATTTTTGTATTTCATTTATTTTTCCTATCTTGTAGAATATTTGTTATAGCTGACATTTTAAAGACCCAGACACTTTTTGCTTAGACCCTATTTCCTGACTTGATCCGCCCCTGTAAACTGTCAATTAATAACACTTTTTGAAGTCTGCAATCTTTACTTTATTGAGACTTGATAGTACATGGCATTATTTTTATAGAAATGGTTTAAAAATGAATTCTATAAATGATTTAAACAGATGCCCCCTTTGGGTTAAAAAGTACAAAAAAACAGGGGCCAGTTTTAACCATGAAAGGGGGACCCGAATGTCTTTGTTTAAAGTAGATCTTTGTTGTCATATAGTATTGTGTTTTAAATGAATTTTTTATAATTTTGTTTTCATTTTTCAAAATATTTTTAGGGGCACTGTGGTAAAAGTTTCCGGTTGCACATGTAAAATTTTTTAAATTAAACCCGTTGTTTTCACTCAAGGGCAAAAGAAAAGTTCTAGTTTTTGAAAAAATTTGTTAAAAAAATGGGGAATTTTTTAGGCGAAGTAATGGAAAAAGGGAAGAAAGCGGGTATAATAAAAAGGAAGCATTCTTAAGTAAAAAAAAACACACAAAAAAACAGGGAAAACTATCTACAGTGCACGCAAGAAAGTCCAGTACATGTGAAATTATAGAAATGCTTTATAAAAGAAAATGAAAATTTTGTATGAAAAAGGAAAGGAGTTTTAAGCTATGGTTAGGTTTTATAAAAAAAAATGGGAACGCATTTGTAGTAAATTGGTTTTGCAAAAGAAAGGGGAAAAGCAATTTGTGGTAAATTGTTTTGTAAAGAAAGGATAAGGTGATTTGTAGATAAAATATTATTGGTAAAGAAAAGGGGTAGTAAATGATTTGTACATAGAAAAAAGAAGAAATCTAGTGATACTGGCTGGAAAAAACAATTTTTTTTAAATAATGGGAAAGTAATCTTTAGTAGGTCATACTGTTAGTTAAGGTTTGACAGAGTTGTGTCCCTTATATGAGCAGATTTTTGAACTGAAACATATGTTTGTGATAGAAAATAAAATGTGCTAAATAATGTTTAATGTTGTTTGATGACATATGTGTATAATTGTATTATTTATTTTTATTTTTGTTGTAATTTTTAGCTATTGCACAATTTATTATAATTTTGCTTTACCCCCTTGTTTATGATTATGCTGTTTAAAGTGTTTAATATTTTTATGGCATTTATACATTGCATCAAAGCAAATGTTGTTTATAACTTTTAAGTAATATATATTAAGGTGCTTTTTAAGTGTTTAAACTGTAGTGTTCACATATAATCCAATCAAGCAAGCGAAATTATGACATCAAAAATAAAACTATGACATATGTTATGTCATTTGGATCATTCATTTAAAAATGAGCCGTGTCCAACGCAAAACGCAACCATAATGGGTTGGACCAGATGGATCCAGACCAGCCCTGCCGCATGCGCAGTCTGATCAAAGGATCCGATGCTGTTCGCCTGATAAGTTTCCTACTTGTATATAGGGTTGTAAAAGCGAACAAGCAATGTATCCTGACCAGACTGCTCGGATGCACAGGCTGGTTCTGGATCCATGCTGGTCCACCAAACCCATTATGTTGGTTTTGTCCGTGACTCCTGCACAAATATGATGGGTTTATTACAAATTACAATTAATAGGAATTGTTGTTAGTGGTCAGTGGAGGCATTCAAAATTGAGGCAATATTTGTCCTTAATTCCTAGCAATCCAATTAGTCCCAGAATGGAATTATTTATTATCCTACAACTTAGTAGGCCCAATGGCTAATTATACTAAATTTAAGAATGTTTACATAGATAGTATAAAAGTTAAGATAAAATTAAATGAACACAATTTTCCATAAAAGTCTTATTCGGCAAAGAGATCCTATAAATCTAACAAATATTTTCCTTTTGAGTATAGAAATTGTTTTTGTTCAAAAAAAGTTTACTAAAATTGAAAAAAACCCACCATGCATGTGAACCTGTTATTGTTTATAAATACATGTGTAAGGTGAAGGCCACTGAAGGTCCCCAAAATAAGTATGGGTCATGTCAAAGGCACAATTTTTCGTGCTTTAAATTTTAGAAAAAAAAACTTTTGAAAGATTTTTGTGTAATAACATGTACAGTGCGCTCTTAAAAAAAAAGTCAGTTTTTTGGTTCATCTCGAACATTTTTCATTCTACGAACATTAGGTTTAAATTTGATTTGCAATGTAACAAACAACTGCATGGGAATTCATTGGCGGGAAAATTGGCCTTTTTTTGTCAACTTTTCCCTTTTGTTTTGTAGCCTTGTTTTTTTGTATGACATGGCTTGATTACTTATTTCTTAAGGTTTCTTAGTTTCTTTTAACTTGCACA